TCGGGTAAATCTCCCGTCGCTTGCAGTGCGAGCGACGGGAGATTTACCCGAGCGGCGCCGTGTGTATCGGTCGTCGGCGGGTAAATCTCCCGTCGCTCGCACTGCAAGCGACGGGAGATTTACCCGAGCGGCGCCGTGTGTATCGGTCGTCGGCGGGGTAAATCTCCCGTCGCTCGCACTGCAAGCGACGGGAGATTTACCCGAGCGGCGCCGTGTGTATCGGTCGTCGGCGGGGTAAATCTCCCGTCGCTCGCACTTTGGAGCGATCCGTCGCTCCTGCAATTGGTGCAAAATCGCTCCAATCGCAAAGTCTGACATCGGCCATTGTGGGCTGAGGTCAGGCTTGTTTCGTATCGTCTTTTGCCTCACCTATTCAACTTGGGCCTGACTGTTTAGTTGATTCTCAAAGTCGTGCCGAGTTTTGTGACAGGCACGCACTTGGACAGACATCGCGTTTTATATTAGTGCGGAGTAACAATTGCGACAACGGATATGGTTGTCAAAAATAGTAAGCCTGCGTAGAATAGCAAGGATTACCTTTTTAAAATGACAGGTTCCACTTTTCGTCGACTTCTTTTGGTTTTTCTCATTATGGCTTTTTTAGATTACAAAGCTTGCAACAATCAAATCTTCCTGCTGGTGACGTCGTTTTGGGCGACGCTGTACCTCGTGAAGCCATATTCAAAGTTGTAAGTTCATTATCAGGCAGTTCTTTTTTAATATTACCAATATAAGTCGATCATGGTTAGGAGGCAAACGATGGTGAAATTTACGATGTCTTATGGCTGTCAGTGGATATGTTCGCTAGTGGAGGTAGCGATAAACGAGTGCGCTTGTGGAGAGTCGACCATCATGGAAGACCTTCAAAAATGTAGGCTGTTTCTACTATGTTGGTTATTCCAGTATTTTTTGGAATCCAGGAGCACGCTGGTTGGTTGCAACCACTCAGTGACGCGCCTCGACTTCGACGCCGAGTCACGGCTTTTGCTTGGCGCCAGTAACGACAATGGTGTTCGATTATGGAATGTGGACAATCAACGGCTCATGGTAAGTTAGGTAGGGTAACACTGCCTAATTATTCTTTCTTAAACAGGCTGCTGAAACCTTTTGCTCTGGTCATTCATGAATTTGGTTAAACTCATTTATCGAAGTTTTTTTTGCATTTTTGTTTATCAGAACAACGTTTTGCTCACGTTGGTGCCATTGCTCATTTCATGCGCGAGGTCTTCCATGTGAGCTTTGGCTTTGAAAGTCCCAGACATGACCGTTTTTTATAGCCAACACATGTGCTTGTTTTCTTGTTTATTCCAGACACTTGAGCCGGTTTTTGAACTGTTTTTTTCGGATGATGCAGAACAAGCCACTTACGATGACCAATTCCTATTTCTTTTTCAGTTGCCACTTACATCATTCTCTTATGACACCGCAATGGCGGCATTGAGGGGGAGGATGGACGCGATACACGGTTCATCGCCCATTGCAACAGGCGAAGACAATTTCTCTCCGCGTTCAGTGCACGCTTCACTTTGATAGGATAGTTTGGCTGCGTCACTCCAATGCGTGTGCACCTACGGGATCCAGCGATATATAAAGACAGCTGAGATTCAAGCTTCTGGCCCGCACTCCTGGTGCATATTGCGCCCATCATGAGGGCTTGGACCTACTAATATTCCGCTAGTCTCGATTACATTTGCCCGGTTTTGGGCAGCTTTTGATTCACTTCGTAGATTTTGAATTGCATGTCCCACCACCAACGTGAAAAGTCCTTCCTTGATTCGCCAACTTCTATACACTTTTTCGAGAACGAAGGAGTCACGGAACTGAATCATGATTTTTCGTGGCAACCTCCCCCGCTTCTGTGGATGTTCCACCACCTGAGGGGATTAGTCCCCTTTTCTTCGTAAACTTTCACCTCCTTTTACGGGAGTTCTGGAACTTCTCATAAAGGCAGTCCCCGGGATTAGTCGATCAGCAGGAAGGAAGGAGGGGAATTTTACGGCAGTGCCTACAGACGAACCAAATCTTACTTTACTAAACGTTGCGGTTCTCAATTTCGCACTTCCGATTATTCCTCTTGCTTTCCTTTCCACTTTCTGTTCGTTCCGCTGCTGTATCGTCACCACGAGGCGATCCCATACACCAGTTTTATATTTTTTGCCTTTTGCCATTAAGCGAACTTGAGGGTTTGTAATGAACACCGCTCACTTAGAGGCAAGATTGATGTACTGTGGGTGGGCTTCCGCTGGGCTATATGTGCTGTGACCAGCTCAGATATTGCTCGCTTACATCGATTTTTTCTTGCTCTATAGGCTTCTTCTAATAAACTTTAAATTTTTTTTGCCGAGCACCTCCCTTCTGGAAACGCCCCGCCTACCGCTGGGCTCCCCTGCTGGACTTAGAAGCACCCTGCCTCATTCTCTAAATGTGCCTGTAGCCCGATTCCATGGAATTGCAATGATTTTTCCTATATTCTGAAAATTTTCATAATGCTGTGTCATTGCAGACGTCTTTCATGGGACACACGGATAAGGTGTCATCGGCTCGATTTCTCTCATCTACTCAAGTAGTTTCTGGCTCCAATGATCGCTTAATAAAGCTGTGGGATGTTCGGAGTCAACGATGTAGGGTCACCTTCACGTTAAGTATTATCAGTTAGAATCTCTATTCTCTTCCATTGTAAATGTAGCACTTTACAGGTATTCGCTCAGTTTTCCCAGGCTCCACTATCCTCGACATAGCAGGAATCAAAAAGGGTGTTGCAACATTTACCTCAGGTAAATTTCCGAGACCTATTCACAGCTACGCTTCTTCTTCTTTCTTTTCACCATATCTTGATATCATTAAAACATTTACGGCGACACCCTTTTTTGCTTTTTGGTGGGGCGGGCGCGATTATGCGGCTGCCTCACCCCGCATCCACGGGTTCTGTTTAGTAAACAGACAAATTATAAACAGCACAAAATAACCTTGGTAATCTATAGGACGTTAATTGTTCTGTTATCAGAAATATGCAAAACTACGACCATACATATTCACGACTACACCCTTTTTCACCGTTTTTTATATAAACAGCGAACCAAATTTACACACTCCTTAGCAAGATACTTTCTGCGGTAGCGTGGAGACATGGCAAAAGAGAAAAAAATCCTCCATTACTCGTATCGAGGAATTGTTGACCAATTTGAAAGGCGGTTTGAAATCGGTTGTAAAACTTTTGTGGCGATATTTTCCCATATTAAATGCCCGCGATTATCTAGCTTTACGTATAAAAGTGTAATCCTTGCGTGTTTCCTTTTGTTATTCGTCACTATATGTCATGCAACAGTAACTCATTCTCCTCCAGGGCACTTCGACCGGAAGCTTCGTTTTTGGGATTCACGAAATCAAGAACCGGTGCACAGCATTGAAATGGGTGGCAAAATTACCTCTTTGGACATGTCTTCCGGTAGGCTATCAGCTTCTTAATGCTTCTCAATGTGGTGCGATTGTATGCTTTGTAACCCTTTCACTGCAGACGGCATCCATCTTTTGTGTTCAACAAGAGACGACACATTGTCTCTATTGGATATCCGAAAGTATCAGACAGTACACATATACAGGTACATCATACTACCACAGTTTGAATACTCAGTTACCTATAGTCTCAATAATATCGTGTTTCAGCGCCGAGCATTATCGAACGTCGACCGATCTCTCTCGATGTGTGCTTTCACCAGGAATGGGATACTGTGCTGCAGGGTATTTCTGTTCTTTATATTTTGGTTTACTTTTAAAAGGCAACGAGCAAGTGAATGAAGGCACCACACGCGTTGGTTCATTTCCCTGACGAAGTTCCAAATAAGGGCTGCTTAATGACATTTTTCTGTACAAGAAGCGGAAAATTTCTGAAATTGTTGAGCATTCGTTTGATAGGTTGCTGTCTCGGACACTCTTTGGTGATAGGTTGGGACCAGCTCAATCGTTTGTTGCGTATTCTCAACTTGGGGGGTCGTATTTGGAATTCATCCGTACTTTTGCATGTTGAAGGGGTATCGCGGTGGGAGAGAGTGGTCGTGTTTGTTTCTGTTTGACGATTTTGGCGAAAACCCCAGGATTTGGCAATTCGCTTCATGGGACCGATTTAACCTTTACCTCCTCAAACTTACAAGGGAAGGATGGTAGGTCGAAGTGGCCGTTCGAAATGAAATGTATACCTCCTGATGCGTCTCCAGACGCTGATTCCAAATCTGCCTTCCAAATCTGCTAAACGACTCTCCGAACG